GTCTGTCTGTCTGTCTGTCTGTCTGTCTGTCTGTCTGTCTGTCTGTCTGTCTGTCTGTCTCTCTCTCTCTGTGTGTGTGTGTGTATCTCCTCCAGTGGTGGGTTTCAAAAATTTTTGGAACCTCTTCTGTAGGTGTGGCCTGCTTTCCGGGTCCACTGGTGGAACCTCTTCTAACCGGTTCGGTAGATTTGACGAATCGGTTCTACTGAATAGGTGCGAACTGGTAGGAACCCACCTCTGATATGTATGTATGCACACATGTATGCACATGCACACACCCACACATTAATTGTACACATGCACATACACAGACAGTTGCATAATGCCAGAAATAACTTATTTGTTTTTCCACGATAAAGGTGCACTGTCTACTGAAGATCAACCAAAAAGTTATTGTTTGCAAGAAGTGCATTTGAAGTTCATTTTAACAGGCCTACTTTCGGGACTTCCTTTGCCTCCATTTGCTATTCGCATGTGTCCACCTCTTACCACCAAAAATATTAAGCAATATCAGCCCCTGCTTGCTGTGGGTAAGTATTGTTTAAAAAGTAAAGTAAATATATTGTTCTGTTTGATTATGAAATAATAGCTTTGTGTAATAAACTCAGTACAGTTTCAGAATATATTTCTGTAGAAAAATAGCACGTCACTAAACTGCTGTAATCCTAATTTTTTCAGGTAAATGCTGCTTTCAAAATTTCATGACAATATAATCTTACTTCCTCTTGATTGTAGGTTTTTCTGCCTCATATTTTAGAAATTGCAACTGCTAACATATTTTTCAGACTATAAACCACTAAAAATGTAATGTTTTAAAATGAATCCGAGCAATTTATCTCTTTAATTTTTACTATAAAACACTGCCTCCGAAAGATTTGCTTATGTTTGGCTATATTTTCCCTAAAAATATTATTTGTCACCCAATAAGAATTCTATAGGTCACATATAAAAATACTTACATACTATAGAATTGTTGTCTTAGATAAAATTTTATATAATTGAACAAATACTAAAGTAGCCTATTAAAATTCAAATGCCTAAGAGGAATTCTATAGACGCTAAGATCCAGGATAACAGTTTATAAAGTAACATAATTTAAGAAATCTGTGAACATCCATCAGGGGAATATAGGGAAAGTAGGAAGCAAGAATATTCCATAATAAGAAGGAAGAGAAGCCTGGATAGTGGACATTGCGGTATCTGAACACACCAGAATAGAAATTGAGAAAATTACACAATACAAATACTTCCAAATAGAAATTGAATGATTTTCACAAAAGAAAGCAAAGATAATACCAATAGTAATAGGCACCTTGAGTGCAATTCCAAAACATATCGAACACCGCTTGAATACATTGACAAAATCCCTATCAGTCAATTGCAAAAGGAACTTTACTTGGAAAAGCTTACATCCTTAGATGATACCTCTAACACCATCAAAGAACAACATCTGCCATTCCAGGACCTTGGGAAGGACTCAGTAGATGGATAAAAATGCCAAATCCAGTCTAAACAACTGGCTGGCTGTGTGAAAAGATTTGATAGGTGGATAAAAATGCCAAATCTATCTAAAATCTGGCTAACTGTGTGAAGAACCATAATAATATTTCAAACAATATTTGCCTGTCTCAGGTCCTTGGGAAGGACTTGACAGGTGAATTAAAATGCTAGGTAGATACAGATACAGATAACAGAATTGGAAGCTAGTCCAAACCCTCACCCAAGAAGATCCTACACCATTTTTGACAGATGGCAGTCTAATATCTTCTTGAAAGCCTCCAGTGATGAAGCTCCCACGACATCTGAAGGCAAGATGTTTCATTGATTGATGCGCTCACTGTCAGAAAATGTCTCCTTATTTCCAGATTAAAACTCTCATTTTTCAGTTTCCATCCATTAATCCTTGCATGGTTCAATCCAATTCAAACATCTGGACGATTGCGACAAATCATAATAAATAAATAAATAAATAAATAAATAAATAGGATGAAATATAAGATATATAAAAAATTGATTGCACAACAAAGTATAATTAAAAACATCATCAACAACAATAATAATAATTAATGCCAGGTGAAATTCTCTGGAGTGGCACTTCAGAATTCAAAGTCAGTTATAAACAGGTTTATTTAAAGCTGTATAATTATCTTCCCAATATTACCATCTGATTCCTATGATTCCTATCCATGGAGCCATACAATGAATTTTCTTCTTACGCAGGTTAAAGAAGACATGTACTCTGATTACTCTGTATCATGTTAAAGAAGCCTAAATAAGGACAATTATTTATCTTCTGTAATAGTGTGTCAGAAAGTTCAATACCCACCAATTGCCTTGAATAAACTATTCATCTTCCTGTAAATATAGACAGTTTTTATCTTTGAATACTTTCCTGACCCTTGATTAAGTAGAAATTTTGAGTGTTAAGGATGTCTCTTTCCTCAGCAGCCATCCATATAGAGATTTTACATCAACTTTGCAAACTGACATTGCTAATTTGTTATGGATGATAGCCTACATGTTCATTGTTGCTGTAGAAAAATCAAGAAAATTAATTCAACGCTCATTTTTATTCTCAAAGCTGAATGTAAAACAATATAAATTGTTATTTTTATTTATAATGAAAAATGATTCTTTGCAGGAACAAGCAATGGGTCGGTCTTGGTGTATAATCTTACTAGTGGATACTTATATAAAGAATTAAGCATTCATTCATGTGAAGTCAAGTGAGTTACTTTTAATTGTTGTTGATCCTGGAAGCGGTTGGGGAAGAAAATAAAATATTAAATGCAAACATTTGACTTTTTCTGAGATGATATTCCTTTGGTAAAATAGTGCCACCTCCTTAAATAGAATCATGATTGGTTGATTGTAAATATGGTTTTGCGTAATAAATATTTGAATTGGTAACTACTATGCATACCTGAACATAATTTTTTTTTTTTAGTACATTGAACCAGCCCTGCCTGGTTCAAATAAGATTCAAGCCATTTATGAGAGGTAGTTTTTAAAGTTGTTCCTCATTTTAAAAAAATGTCTTGTTCCCAATAGCTAGCAGAACCTGGGATCATGAATAGAGGATCATTCAGGGTTTGGAAGAAAAAAATATTGCTTAAAATCATTTTGTTTGTCCTGTAGGACAAAATAGAGTACCTTTTTTTTAATTTAAAAGAATAGACCAGGACTATCCATCAAACTGACAGAGATAACTTTCTAATTCTGGTTGGGTTTTTTGATAATCTTTATTTATTCATGTTGTTGAAAGCATCAGATAGAATAATGAAATGACATAACACTTGACTTTGTTCCAAAAAGCCTGTTTCGTTCAAAATTATATTCTTAATTAGATTTCTTTTTTAGAAGTTTATGCTGTTATGGCTTAGATGGTAGCTAGCTTTAATTAAGAAAATGCAGTCTCACCATCTGTCAGATTATAAATCTTTAAAAATACCTGAACTAAGAAACACTTTATAAACATAAACCGCAATGTGATGTCAAATGTAATATTGCCTCTTTGCCATCTTCAGGATTGGATCAGTTAATATGAGAGGAAAAAGAGAAGGAAAACCTAGTTATTAGCTTTATGAAGGAATCAGATATTTTTCTCATTGATTCCTTCCAAAATTTTTGACCATAATAATAAATATTATAACTTAAATAAGATTTGATTTTATTCTTCATGCTTTCCATCTTTCCTAATCCTTTCTTGGTTTGTGCATTAATTGTTCTGTGCAATATCTTACTGCATGCTCCTAGAGGGTTTTCTGGCTGAAGACCAATGTCAGATGAGCAGCCTAAAACCATGGAAAGTTATTTAAATCACCTTTTCTCCAGTGAATTGCTTATCTGATTTTGGGACTCACCATCATCTTTCAGTTTTATATTATTTTTTAAATGACAGTGATAAATATTATTTTGATCATCTGCCCAAACATTTTTAAAGCTTTAAGTATGCCTGAAAGAATTTCACCTAATACATGACACTTACCTGAAGCATGTGGCAGACCAAACCAGAATTTTCCTTATTTAAATTCTAAGCATGACAAAACTGCAAGAAGTTGATGAAAACTTAATATTTATCACTGTCATTTAAAAAATAATATAAAGGATTTGTGTTGCTCATAGAGGTCACTAGCGGAAGTAGCCATTCTGTGTTGCTTTTAAGTTTTACATAAGTTATGTTCTCTGTCATCTAATTGTTACTGGCATTGTATATTCGATATTGAAATGCTGTTTGCAGCATCTCACAGTCACGTGTTTTGGTTTTTAATGTTTTTTATC